AATTCTCGCGGTCAACCGCGAGCCACTTTCGAGCCTGAGAAATTTCCAGAAAGTTAGACGGTCGACTGTGGGAATTTTCGAGCTGACGGTCGACCGTGAAAGTTACTGTTGGCTCCGCAGGTTAAAAACAAAGGCACGGTCGACCGTGTCGGTCGACCGCAAACTGATATATGAAAGTGACAGTTTGAAAACAGTTTTTCTGATTTAAAACCCTATTTAAAAATATCAAATAAATTCTAAAAATATAAAACTTTGAAAAATGATTGTAGGCATGATAATACACATGCTATAAAAACTGGTTTTTAGAAAGGACATCCCAAATGAAAAATATCATCATTTTGTAAAATAGTCCAAAACATGAAAATGTAAACATATGAGTTTTGACATTTTAGCTTAATCATGTTTTGAAACATTACAAAGTGATTATATAGATTTAATAAAAGATATATGATTGTTATTAAGTCCATAAATAATGAATATAGTATTTTCACAAATACAATAGCATATGAAACATATGAGTATGAATATGAATATATATTTGTTTCATATCTATGAAATTAAACCAAACCAACTTATTCATATAAAAACAAACATGTATGAATATAAATATTTATTTATATGCTTGTAAAAACTTTGTTTGTGGATAAACCAAAATCCAAAATGTGTACAAATATATATAACTATATATATATACATAGAAACCAATAAAATGTGTGTGTATATGATATTGAGCTTAAAGTACTTAACACACATAATATAAACTCCTAAACTAAATTACCCAAGCTTGTGATCTTCAACGAAACTCTATCTTGGTACACTTGCGGATGAAGCTTGAACTTGAATCTTTAACTTTGAATTGCGTAGGCTTCACTCCATAATTCCACCAACCTCCATTGGATATGATCGTGAATGCGCAATTCTATCCATCCTCCAACATATTATTTGTCTACAATAAATAACAAAATACAAACACTATACAAACAATATTAGATATAAATTGTTTGTTAAATCATCATCAAAACAAGAAGGCCAACAAAGGCTTCTCCTGAAGTACTAGCTCTGGAACACTCTTTATATTTCCTCCTCAAATCAAAATTCGTCAATACATTAGTCACTTCACTATAGGTGATAGAAGATCTACCATTCAACAAAGTAAGCATAAAGGTATTAAAATCCTCACCAGGTAATGAGCAGAACAAAATAATCGCCTTGTATTTATTCGATATCTTCTCATCAACATTCACCAAGTCCGACAACAACTTTGTGTAGTTGTTCACATGATCTCCAAGTGAGGTATCCTTGGACATCTAAAATCTGAATAATCTCCGCTGCAAGTGTAACTGATTCTCAATACTCTTCGTAAGATACTTATTGTTTAGAATCTCCCACATCTTCATTGCAAACGTCACGCTAATCACATCGTATTTCAACTCTTGTTCTAAACAAGATCTAATTACCCCACATGCATTTCGATTCATCTTGTCCCATATCGCCTCATCATATTTAGGTGGTCTCTCATGAGTCATTATCGTCTCTTTCAAGTTTTGAACATTCAAAGCATCCTGCACATCACTCATCCACAACCCAAAATTGCTTTTGCCGTCATACTTTACAATACTAATCTTCGTATTCTGAAGTGCAACCTGAACTGTACTCAACGCAGCATTGCTACTTTCACCACTTTCTCCAGCTATTGCTTACCAACTCTAAATTGTAGAGGAAAGATTCGAACTTGATAAAGTTGAGAAATCACCCAAATTAAACCCTAGATAGGATTCCAACACAATCTCCCAAACACACGAAGAAGGCGAGATCTTCAATGACAACTCTACAACGCTATCTCCACCGAAACCTAGATCTCCAAGATTAAAGCTTCCAACACTGAGTTTTCCTCCACCCAAATCAAACCCTAGATCTGAAATTCGGCTCTGATACCACTTGTTGCGTACAGCGGAAGCGGACTCAACCCACAACAAGTCAGTAAGCAACGCATGAAGAATAATACAAGCACAATTCACAATGAGAACGGCCAAAACCAATCACAAACACAGAGTATTTATGTAGTTCGGCAAATTGCCTACGTCCAAGGGGAGAGGATGGAGAGATTCATTATATGGAGGAGAAGTACAATGTGTTACAACTCTCTCAAACAATCAAAATAACCCTAATCAACAAGATCTCTCTCCCTCTCAATAATCTCCCTCTCAAAGTGCTCAAAACAACCTCTTTTCTCTGTTTTATATCTCTCTCTAAACCCTAGAAAACGTGATTCTATTTATATAAACAACCCAAACTAAAACAGACTAGGAAACAGATTCGGCCCAATACCCGCTATCGGTCGACCGATGCACCCCTATCGATCGACCGATAGGTCTTCATCAATCGACCGATAAGTCTTCATCAGTCGACCGATAAGGGTGCATCGGTCAACTGTCCAGTGCGAGGTTTTCAGCTCCTGTATGATGCATGATATCGTTCGACTGGTTTGGCACACCGGTCGGCCGACCAGAGGACTTTTGTCAGCTTCGATTTTTCATGTAATTCGCACCCTCTTTCAACAAATTTAAGGAAACTGATGGCTATATCCATCAACTTTTCCATCTGTTATGCTTTGAAATTGGTATTGATGTGTGATATACATCAAGACCGTCTCTAAGAAGGATGCACACCCGAATGGACCTCAAATCAGAATCTCAAGGGATAAAAACGTTGTGGATAGAACATGTCCACTTAAAATTTATTCTAGATTTCTCCAATTATTTGACTTATTATGTGAATATTCATGGATATTTGTGTGTATGATAAGAATTCTTGCATTTTTTTAGAAACTACTTCCTTAGATTTCGTAACTTTCTTTTCTTCTTTATGGAAGTATCATTTCTACAAATCTTTAAAACATAAAACGGGAGAAAAAAAAGTATCCTCGTACACTCATTTATAGATGTATGTACACATTTGTGTATGTACGCATATAACCACCAAATGTCTAGGACATGACTATATATCTCCAAACTAGTAAAGGAAAGTCGCTCTCATCGAACTACTTTTTTAGTCAATATATTGTTTTCTTAATTATTATTGAAACATTAGTTGTTGAAATATTATATCTTACTGCTTAAGAACTCATGACTCGTGACAGTAGTATTGGACAGAAAAAACTTTCGGGCTTTATTGCAACGTGTTTCAGACTAAAGTTTCAATTGTTCAACCTGTTTTTGACCGCATTGTGCACTGAATATCCATTTCCAAAAGCACATTTCTTACAAATTGTTCAGCCTGTTTTTGACCGCATTGTGCACTGAATATCCATTTCCAAAAGCACATTTCTTACAAAAAATAAGTAAATAACAAAGAACCGTTATTATCTAGTCTTAATTGTTGTACCTTCCATAATCGTAATTCACCGCATCTGCAGTGAGTCTTAACAACATCATACACAATATCAAACATAGTCTTGAAACAACAATGTAAATTTTCACCTCATCCTAGAGGGGGGGTGTTTGTTTGTTTGCAAGTAAAATGTGCAAGTTGGAAACTAAGAACATATTTAATTAGCAACCTACTTATTTTATTATTTTTTTACTTATAAGTACAGAATAAATAAGTTAAGATTTGCCAACTTGTTCTTTTTATCACTTATTATAATAGGTTCACTCATTGTTATTAAAACACTACGATGTCCTTTAACAAAACAAGTAAAAATAAGTGACAAGTAACTTATGAGGTTGCATTCACGTTTTCTATACACTTTCGTTTTGCCAAACATCCCACTTCCATAAGCACCCACAGTGGCTCTTGCTAGGGACTAGAATGAAAGAATATTTTTCATTTAGTACCCCTTAAAAATACCCTCTTTGAGAGTGAAGTAGTAAACTTCTGTTCAAGTGCAAAATAAATCTCAAAGTGATATCTAAACTTGTTATGGAAATGATCACATTACAAGAGCTTCTAGAATTGAAACCAAGATAAATTTTTTAAACGAAGTGGTAAAAACTTTTGCTATCTTAAGTTAGAACCGACGGTGTCATCAAAAGCACCCGATCTATCTCTCTCGTGATTACCTCCCTCAACTTGTGACTGCGGCAATGTAACTCAAAAGCTCAATTGGGTTACTACGACTACACTCATCCTCTTTTTCACCAACCCCCCCTCTATTTTACCACAACTGTTTAGGACCCCAAAAACCATCATTTACCTTTTCAGGGTAAATTCCATAAAAATCCCTAGCGATCTGAACTTTGCGAATCAAAGAAAACCATACTGAATTTTCTTTGTTGAACTAAATTCTTCTGAAATATTATTAATTCTCACAAACAATATTAGTAGAGAGTAAAGCCTAAACTATCTTTTTAGTTTTTTTTACCTATTATTACTCGACGAGGATATAATACGTAAATAGATGGGGGTGAAATTGTCCAAAATATATCATGTCACCGTCAAACGATAACTCTAAGCTAATGGCGTTTGCCATGTCGATAGACATGTGAAACAAATGATGGGAACTCTCCCGTATTTACGGAGTTAAGAAAATTTTTGTGCGAAAACCCCCCTCAAATTGACCCCTGCTTGCAAAACCCAACCGTCATTCATTTACCGCGAGTTGGAGTTCATTGTACTTCTTACCTCTCCCCCCTCAGTCCCAAAAATCCTCGGGGGAAAAAAAATTTATTATTATAATAATAGAAACAAATATCTCCAAGTTCATTACCTTCTTATAATATTCAAATAATTATTTTATTTTCTCTCTCCTAAATAGTCAAAATAAAAATTCACTGTATAGATTTTCTCCCCTGCTTCTCCTGCTGAAAACTCTCTCACATTATCTTTACTCCTTCTTCCTCTCTTTCTGTTGAAGCTCTCTCTCTCTCATCTTGAAAAGGAAGTAGAGGGAAGCTAGAGAGAGCAGAGAGCTGAGGAGTTATCCAAAGCAAAGGCCTTGCCTTCTCTTCTCCCTTCAAACCCCCAAACGAGAGCCTGTTCACCCTGCTCAAAAATTAAGGAACCGTCTCTCCCTCAACGAGCCTCAAGATCCAATCTGGGTCATCCTCAGACTCTCTCAATCCCCTCAAAACCCCATCAAAAATCTCACCTTTGTTCTCCTTCTCCCCAAAATCCCACCTTTTTACCTCCCCTGACAAAAAACCCCAACTTTGCCGGTCCTCTGCTGCAATTTCTGCAGATGGGGAGGGTTTTGCTGAAAAAGTGGAGAAACCCAAGTTCTTGGGGATTGAGTTATTGACCCTGAGGAAGATTATCCCACTTGGGGTTATGTTCTTCTGTATTCTATTCAATTATACTATTTTGAGAGATACTAAGGATGTTTTAGTGGTTACTGCTAAAGGGAGCAGTGCCGAGATTATACCCTTTTTAAAAACATGGGTGAATTTGCCCATGGCTGTTGGGTTCATGCTCTTGTATACTAAGCTCTCAAATGTTTTGTCAAAGGAGGCTCTTTTTTATTCTGTGATATTTCCCTTCATTGCCTTCTTTGGGGCTTTTGGGTTTGTGCTTTATCCTCTGAGCGATAAGATTCATCCCATTGCTTTTGCCGATAAGCTTGTTGCTGCTCTTGGGCCGAGCTTTATTGGCCCGGTCGCTATTCTGAGGATTTGGAGCTTTTGCTTGTTCTATGTCATGGCTGAGCTTTGGGGGAGCGTGGTGATTTCTGTTCTTTTCTGGGGGTTTGCTAATCAGGTGATCAAAGATGATCCTTTGATTTGTTAAGCTCATTTTCATGTTTTAGTTACTCTAATTCAACTAATAGTTTCTGTATTGCTGTTCTAGTGTTTATTGCTTTGGTGTTTATTTTGATTGTGAATTTTGATTCTTTTGCATATATTTCTGCCAGTTAAACTTACTTCGAAGAGTTTACTTATTATGCGCCTTCTTTTGTGTGATATTAGCGTGCTAAAGCCAGTTTTGCTCTGTTAATAGGTCACTTGGATGATTTTTTTTTTAAATCTTTTGCAGAATTTATGATAATTTTTTAAAGTTACATTTGTTTGGAAATTGTTGAGGGTTTCAGATAACCATGTGCTCTGTGATTCCATTGGAAAACACATTGTTTTTTGTACAATGATAAAGATGCTGCTGTGGCATTTTAATCATTTATTGACTAGTACGATGCTTGGTTACCTCAGCTTCAATATAGGGTTAAGTGGAAGGGTAGGATTCTTGCTAATCAATTTTCATTGAGAAGGCATTCATGTAATTTTTGCTTGCTCAATTGAACACTCAATGATCATCTGTTAGAGAGACTGCAATAAAATGTTATCCATCAATATTTTAATTATGATTTACCTCAGGACATTTCACCTTTAATTGGTGTATAACTTCTGTACTCTAATGCATTAGCTGTATCGAAGCTGATTTATCATAAAGTTCCATGTTTTTGGCTCGGATTTTCAAGAAGAACATTATAACATCCATAAGTATTAAACGAATTTTTTTTATTCTTGTAAATTGATTGTGACTTTTGAGTGATCCTAGAATGATTTGTTTTGGAATTTGGAGTTTAATAAACAATAGAGATATATTTGATTTGTCATTCTAGTGGCTATTGGAGCAGAGAACTTGAGTGGTGAAGTTGGTATGTGATTGCCCTCCGTGCCTTAGGGCCTTTGCTCTTTGGGAAGTTAAAAAAATAGTAACATGACTGCCATTATTAACTGTGTGCACTTCGTAAATAATAGCTTAGCCAAGTTTCTTGTAGAAGTTCTAGTACAATCACGTTCTTGAAATTCTAAGAAATTTTATGATCATGTGGTTTTAATAGCAAGTGTTCATCAGTAGGCCTAGCTATTTGTCATTACAGAAAATTTTACCAATTCAATGCAGTGTCAAAGGCAATACTTTTTTTTGCTACATATTCTTCTGCTATTATGTTTATTGGAAACAACTTTGATAGATTACATAGCAGTTGATTTTTTACGTTTAGTTCATGATTCAACACGATTCTTTTCTCTTTAAGCATTTCTTTGTCCATGTGAAGGGAATGAACAGATTGCACCTTATCCATTCCCTTGAAGAAAAAATTTCCTTTTTTTTTAAATTACATTTAGGGGTTCTGACATGACGGTGGACTACAGTTATTTTATCCACTTTTGTTCATTGCACTGGAGTGTTCTTTCATGCTACATTATTTCCTTATCCATTCCCTTGAAGAAAAAATTTCCTTTTTTTTAAAATTACATTTAGGGGTTCTGACATGACGGTGGACTACAGTTATTTTATCCACTTTTGTTCATTGCACTGGAGTGTTCTTTCATGCTACATTATTTTGGTGATAAATTAAAGGTTATCTTTGATCAAAATCATTAACTTAACGCCTCAGGATTTTGGTTCGGTTATAACTGCGAACAGCTTCTATAAAGATAATGTCTTGGCGTTCTACAACCTCGACGTGTTATAATGTTATGAATGAAAGTTTAACTTCTAGTGTAGAAATCCCGGCACATAATTCTTTTGGTCTGGCATAATGTGGAAAGTGGATAGTAGTGATCCTCAATTTAATATGTCAAAGCTAGTGATTAATCTGTCTTTACTCTCTATCATGTTTTTCCTCTGATAATCTTTCCTGCATTTGCAGATTACCACAGTTGAAGAAGCCAAAGAGTTCTATCCACTCTTCGGTCTTGGAGCTAATATTGCCCTCATCTTCTCAGGACGAACTGTGAAGTACTTCTCTAACCTTCGGAAGAACTTGGGCCCGGGTGTTGATGGCTGGGCGATATCTCTAAAAGGAATGATGAGCATTGTGGTCCTTCTCGGTCTCATAATCACCGCAATCTATTGGGGAGTTAATAAATTTGTTCTCAATGACCCTTCTCTTCCAAAGTCTGACCGCAAGAAGAAGAAGGTATGATTGAAGATAATAAATTGGAGGATAACCATGCTAATTCATCGAATTTTCCGTGTATTTATGAAATGTTGATGCCTTGACAGGAAAAACCAAAGCTAGGTATGAAAGAGAGCTTAAAAGTGCTGCTTTCTTCAAGATATGTGAGGGATCTTGCCACTTTGGTGGTTGCATATGGTATCAGTATCAATCTCGTTGAAGTTACATGGAAATCAAAGCTGAAGGCTCAGGTAAATTTTGTTTGTTTGGTTGTTTGTTCGTTTTTATAGTAGTCCTTTAGGTCTTTTATATTTTGCAAGTAGTTCCTCAATCTCTGAAATTGTTACTAAGCCGTCTGAAGTTTCAAATAATTCCGAAATTGGCCCCTCAAATCATTGAAATTGCTATCAGGTCCCCCAATTCTCATAACTAGTTTCAAATTAATCCCTCTGGGTGCTAATTCTACTCTTGATTGGAGGGACTAATTTCAAAATAGATTATTATTGAAGGACCTACTAGCAATATTTTTTGAGATTAATACCTTATATCTGACGTGTTTTGAATTAGTTCCTCAAATCATTGAAATTGCTAGTAGGTCCTCCAATTCTCAAGTTATCTCATAAGTTCTTTCAAATTAATCCTGCTAGTTTCTACTTCTGTTCTTGATTGAAGGAGCTAGTTTCAAAATATGAAAGCTTTAAGGGACTAATATAGCAACGACTACAAAAAAAAAGCCCAGTTTGTTTTTATGCTCAATAGGTTGTTGCCTTCCAATATTTTTTCTAATTTCAATTCCTTTTACAGTTTCCTAGCCCGAATGAGTACTCATCGTTCATGGGCGATTTCTCAACTGCAACCGGAATTGCCACATTCACGATGATGTTGCTTGGCCGAGTGATCCTCAGAAAATTTGGCTGGGGGGTTGCGGCTATGATAACTCCGACAGTTTTACTACTTACCGGAGTTGGTTTCTTCTCGCTTCTATTGTTTGGGGAACCATTGGCACCATTGCTCGGGACACTAGGCATAACCCCTCTACTTGCAGCTGTTTATGTCGGTGCATTGCAGAACATTTTCAGTAAAAGTGCAAAATATAGTTTGTTCGATCCATGCAAGGAAATGGCTTATATTCCTCTAGATGAAGATATGAAGGTTCGTTTGAGTAATACCGTTTATAACTTATATCTATGTGCACATGCATACATAATATATTTGTGCTCATGTATGCTAGTACAGATGCATATGTCTATCAATAATCCAAATTATTCGAGCACAAGTATTGACATTTCGAGTTGCACTTTTCACTTGTAACTTAATCCGTTACCGGGTCTTGTCTTGATAAAAGATTTTAGGGTTAATTGCAGATATACACCCTGTACTATGGTGGTGTAGCCAAGTTTTTTTATTGGCACTTATACCCCCTTGGTTACAGAGACATTACTTTTTTGCCCTCAATGTAGATCTAAGTTAATGTTATTTTTTTTCCAGTTAAACTGAGGGCATAATGTAATATTATCATCACGTGATACCCATGAGACATCTCATCCCAACTTTGAAAAATACTGTCGTATGGAGTTTAGGGTGTGCAACTACTATTGAAATTGTTCGGGCTTCAAGGGATATGAGTGGCTACACTCTCATAGATGATTGAATAGTAGTGTATCTGCAATTAACCCAAAAATTATAAGCCATTTGCCACAAATTGATGTTATAACTTGCATGTAAGCATTTGGTCATGTTTTTCCCCCTTTTCTTGTCATCAGCTAATGAAAGCTATATTTGTTCAAGCTCAATACAATAGATGCTTTTTCTCTCGTCCATTTTTCTGAAATTTTCATAATTGACTATAGGTTAAAGGGAAGGCAGCCATCGATGTTGTCTGCAACCCCTTGGGGAAATCAGGAGGCGCGCTGATCCAACAATTCATGATTTTGACATTCGGGTCTCTTGCAAACTCTACTCCCTATCTCGGAGGAATCCTTCTTGTGATTGTTCTTGCTTGGCTTGGGGCAGCAAAATCTTTGGATTCCCAATTCTCTCCTTTGGCTAAACAAGAGCTTGAGAAGGAGAAAAAACTAGAAAATCTCAAGGAACCAGTGATTGACGTATCTTTCTCAGACACCAAGAAAGAGGTGAAAACAACAGAAAATGGTTCTCTTCAGGAACCAGGCTCGAGCGAAAGCTTATCAAATGGATCAGCTTTGAAACCAAAATTGGATTCTGAATCAGAGAACTCATCAGAATCTTCAGCTCCTCGTGCTTAGTGAGGTTACTTTTCTTCGCAAATTATAAAACATCGAGTAGAAATAAGTTGACAGCAGCAGGTATGCAGTTAGTTATTTCGTCGTTTTTGATAGGAAATAAATTTATCTATTCTAATATGTACTTGCTGTACTTGTGAATTTGTAGATGAGATTAGCCTATGAGAAGTATATGTACCTTTGGTTTGTTTTGAGATATATTTTACTTCCTTTGCTAATTTGCGCATATTTGGAAGTGTCAAGTTTTTGATTCTTATTAGCATTTATATTTTGAAATTATGTTTGACATTTTTGTTTAGCTTTGGTTGACTGCAATTTCTTCAAAAATTCAAATATGTAGATTTTGAGGATCGTGTTCTCCTTTATTTTCCTTGCAATTACAACGTTTGTGAATGTGAAAAGTATTATTACACTCTTAAAATAATATTAGCCTTTAATTGACATTTTTATGGGCCTTTGTAGTTAGGTGCTCTGTGTTTTAGGTTCTTCTTGTCTTCGGATATTACCCACGAGTGGAATTAAAATACTCATAGAAGTTGTACTTTGCTGATCCAATTTTGATTAATTTTCCTTTATTAACTTGTCATTACCCTTCTTTTTTTTTGTGCCAAGTGTAGACTTTATTACCAAATAGCAAGAGCTGATGGGTGCATACTCCCTGTATGCTATAGAGCTTCACAGCTCGAAGCTATAGCACAAAAGCCTCTAGCCAAAACATACTAACATAGAGAGGCATCTAAGCAAACAACTAAGAAACTAAGAAACTAAAAAGACCAAAATCAAAATTTATCTATATATTGTTGCTTCTTCTTCCACGGACAATCAGGAAATAGGTGCATAGGATCTATGCCGCCCTCTGTTTTGTTTAGTATCCTTCAATCTGCAAACGTTACTCGACTGAATCTTAATCTCGTAAGTGATAGCAGACGTACACTCCTCCACCTCCACTCTTTGCTGTCGAAAGATCTACCAATTTCTTGCTCGCCAAATGTAGTAAATACAAGCTGCAGCAGCTGCAGAAACACACACAGGAGCTTCCTCGCCACTTTCCAATCACCCATTCCAGACCTTCATTCCATTGAAATTTATCAACCCTTTACTGAGCGAACTCCATAGCATTCCTCCACAAGAAGTCGCTGAAACCACACCCAAAAAAAGAGATGGTTTCTATCTTCAATACCAGAATTGAAAAAGGAGCGAGTATCATCATCAACAATCCCATACTGTCTAGGCTTTGCTCTTCGTAGGCAGTTTATCCTTTCATGCTACCCAAAAAATAACAGGATTTGCTTAGGCAGAGGGAGTTTACTCCGAGCCAATCTAGCCCAAGGCAGTTTAACCCCAGCACCAGCAAGCCTACGGTATGCAGATGTGGTACTAAATTGAGGGGGGTCGCCAATCCAAATGAGGCCACTAGATGTCGTATGACCACATCGTAGAGCTTCTTCTCTAGAACTTTTCAAGAATTTTCTTGAATGACCAAGAGAAGTGAAGCTTGATGACGATACTCCAATTACTTTGATTTTTTTAGATAATAACCAGGGACCCAATTAAGTCTAACCATAATGAATAATTTGCCATAGCTACTGCATGTCCAGGAGTCTAAACAAAAGTCACTTTGTTGAATAGCCCCATCTGATGAGGGCCTAATCCACCACAAATTTTAGAAGCACACACTGTAGGCCAGGCCACTCTGCTCTTCTTGTAATCGCTTAGCTCCCCCTGCCCATGAGAACCCTCTACCTAGCCGCTCAACCTTCTTAGCAACTCCTAGGCGATACAAGTATCCCTCCCCAATACATTTACATACTGTGCAGTGTACAAAACTGATTTATCCAATTGGAGTCTACCAGCAAAAGATAAGAGCTATATAAGAGCTTGGTAATCCATCACTGAAAACATATCATTCCTAACATTATGATTAACACCTCCGAAGAACACTTGGCTCTTTGAGCCATCGGCAAATAATCCAGAGACCCCCGAATAATGTGAGAACCTTTCGTGAATTTGAGACACTGAAACCAAGTCCCCTCTACAAAATGTCATGAGATCATCAGCAAAGCATTGGTGAGAAAGATGAATACCTCCGCACTTTAGATGAAATTTAAAGCCCTTAACCTCCTTAAGGCCAACCATGCATCTACTAAAATACTCAGTAGCAAGAACAAACAGGTAAGGTGACGCTGGTTCACCTTGTCGCGGTCCCTTCTTTCTAGGAAATTAAGGTGAGCTCATCTGACCATTGACCACAATAGAGTATGGAACAGTAGATATACATTCCATCACCCATCTCTTGAATCTATTAGGAAAATCAAGTCCATGAAGAATAGCCTCCATAAACTCCCAATCCAAGAGCATGTTTAAGTTTTACACTTTTACTAACGTGAGCTCCATAAACCTCCATAAACAGTAATTATACATTCCGTAAGCTTGTTCTTGCTAAGTTAATGGCTTTCGTAACTTTTTATCCAAGAGTTTGTTTAAGCCAATTTCTAGGTTTACTAATCTGAGCTCCATTTATTGCGTAGAATTTATCAATTTTCTAGTTCTTGTCAAGCTTTTATCCCTTAATAAATCAGCATCATAATGGTGTCATAATCAATTATTAATTTATTATCCAAAAATCTAGAGACAGGTGGTCTGATACCATTTTTGCAAAAAATATGAAGTTTTTTAGGGGCATTTTCAACACTATTAAGACGTGGAAAACTTTTTGGTGCTTGGTAAGAAAAACAAAATATTGTAGGGTTTCATGGGAAACACCCAGAGTATCTGTGGCTTTTGTGAAATTTATCTTTTTCCCCCTGAATGGTCATCAGATCTTTTTTATTTTAAACAATGCTATTAATATTTTTTGTTGGATTTATTTAACTAGAAAGATTTGGATTGGGTTTGATTGTGTTTTCCTCGATGAATATCTGTCTTTTTTTTTTCCAAAAGTTATAACAGTTAAATATCTCAAAGCGTTACCAATTTGTAAGATTATACAAAATTAATGATATTAAGGTAAAATGATTATTTATCCTTTCACTATTTAAATTCAACCACCAATGCCTATTTTATGTAAAGTTGTTCAAATATCACCATAGGGATGTCCCGTAATAGTGATGTTGTAACCGAAGTATATTCATTGCAAAATCATGACTTGCAGTATTCGTTAGCAATTAACCTTTTGTACAAAGAAAAGTAAAAAAATCAGAATATATTTCTTGTTAGCTTGTTGAGAATGAAGCTATTGGTTTTTGGGACCATCTTTGCTTCGCAACAAAACTTTGGGAGGAATATTGGTAGTAAAATACAAAGAGTGCCAGGGGCCTGGGAGGGTTATGTATTTATTATATTCATCATTTTTGTTCTAGTTGTATGATTTTAACCTTTCAAGCAAGGACAGATATTTTAAACTTTAACTTGATAACCTGTATCAAAGTTAAAGTTTAAAATATCTGTCTAGAAAGGTTAAAATCATACAACTGAAACAAAAATGATGAATATAATAAAGAATTATAAAAAAAAATTAACTTGTTTGTAATTGAAGTATTTGGCTTTTTTCATTTCCTATCTGAATGAAGCATGTTGAGGTTTTGACCCCTTCTTTCTTCTTTTTTCCCTCAAGAAAAAAAAATTTGTATTCAAAGGAAAAGTTACCTCTTCTGGTCATCAAATCAAGTATACCGATACAAGTTGCTCATCAAGTTTCTCTTAAAAGTCCTTTCTAACATGGCTTTACAAATTGAGAGTCGTTCGCATCGGCTGTTGTCTAATTTTACTGAGATATTATCTCGAAGTCCCTTCTACTCTAAGAAAACCTACAACTAACTTATGATGAAGATAGAGATTTATAACCCCCCCCCCCCCCCCAAAAAAAAAAAAAAAAAAAAAAAAAAAAAAAAAAAAAACATGCACTTTACTTTCTTTATCCGTTTCACTCGGTAGATGCTAAACCGTATAGTGTTACTATGGATTTGTTGCTTACTGGTAACACAGTAGTGTGGCCCTGCGAAATGATATATAGATGGTGTTGCTGCGATCAGGACAAAGTATGGAATTGAAAGAGGTACTGAGATGTTTCTGTCTTTATTTAGCTCCAGTTGGTTATTCATTAGCTTCCCCCTAAAGGACAAATGAAAATTGAAACCTATGAAGATTCCTGTTTACAAAGCTTTGTATTTAGATTGTGGGCCTCTCTTCATGCCCTGGCGCTCTGTTCATAGGCGTCTCAAAATAGAGAATCAGGCCAGGGTCTCTAATAATTACCATTTTCGTTCGTGTCACGGTTAATTTCCGTTCTCTTTTCAGCTTTTACACGTGAGATGAATTCAGAGCCTCTTCGAACGTGGTGCTTATAATTTTGTGATAATTAATTTGGCCAATCTTTGCCTTGCCATAGTTCTTGTGTTCTTTTTAGATAATTAATATAGCCATTTTTAGGGAGTGTTAATTTATGCAAGTTCTTAACGTTATGCTACTTGGTTTAACTGAGTAGTAATACGGTACAGCTACTGAAGTTGTGAATTATCAATATGATGATTGGCAGCATAAACAATTTGATTCGTCCAAATTTTTAACGGCTGGCAGATGCAAATTGACGTTGGTATTTTCTCAATTTTCATCTCAATTGTCTGAAGGAGAGCCTTCAAATTAAGCTCCAACCTTTTCCCTAGATATATAGTCCACGTATAACATCGTCTTTCGTTCGAATCTGTTTATACTCTTAGCGTGACTTCGGGTCATATTTATGGGCTGAAACATGAAGCTGTCACTAACGCTAGCTCTGAAGTCGTAACGTGGGTAGACGAACATATATGTTTGGGGTTTTTCAATAAACACCCCCTCGACACGGGGTAAATTCAAAAATATCTATAATTTGAGGGGCATACTGTGTATAGACGACCCTATACGTTTTTAGGCATCACATTCTTTTACCATCGAACCGATTATCGAAATAACTAACCCTATCCCTCACTAACCAAACCAACTACCTTTCGATCTTTATCAGTCCTATCCTCCCCCCCCCCCCCCCCCACCCCCCCCCGCCACCCCCCCCCTCCCCGCCCCCCCCCTCCCCCCGCCTCCCCCCCCCCCCCCCCCCCCCCCCACCCCCCCCCCCCCTATCCTACAGTCGCACCCCCCCTGACCCCGATGCCCAACACAAAAACATCCAAAAACATTCCACATGTGGTCCGGTACGAGACACCCACCCTCCGTATTTGGATAAAAGCACACAATAACCTCCCACCCTTCAAGCATCCACACTTCACCCAATAATTAATTAAACCAACAAACCAAAGCCATGAAATCCCCCACCACCACCTCCTCCTCCCTCAAAAACCTCTCATTGCCGGAACCCGGTGAACCCTACTTCGACGAAGACGCGCCCGAAAACCTCGACATCGACCAGTTCACTAAGACCCTCTCCAACATCAAGTCCAAGGCCGTCCGCCCGGACCTCCCTCGCTCCCTCATGCTCCACTATCGCCGTTCCAAGTGGCCTCCCGGAGCTCACCTCTGATCGCCCTGTATCCGTATCCGTATCCTCGCGGCAGCTCCACTGCCGCCTGGCGCTTAAAAAGCGGCCTTGCCTCGTCGAAATGTTATCGCCATACTGCCTCAAGATTCACAAGGGCATTCCAAAATGCCTTGCGATTTTTGTTGCGGCTCCTCCGAGGCCGCGAGGCTGCGTCGGAGTTGGCCCGCGCGCGGCTGGCTGACGGTCTGCGAGGACAGGTGGCTTATCAGCTGGACCGTGGGGGGCCACTTGAAGGAGGCTCATGATCGTCGGCCGTTCAGTGCCTACACGTGCGGCAGCTGCTCGAACGTCGGCTGGTGAATCAGACTGATAGAAAGGTTCTTTGGCGATGGAGGAGGCGCCGGAGTGGGGCCCGCGATGGTGAAGGTGGCGAAGCTGTGGCACTCGTACCTGCTCTTGAGGTTTGCGATGGACGCGGGGGCTCGACGGTGGCGGAGTTTCGAGCGGCTTCGCCACACAATTGCCAGGCGCATGCCCGGGCAGCCGATGATATGGGCTGTAGAGCCGTAGACACGTACATTAAGGTGAGTTTTTAAGGCCCATTTCACATGCAAACCTGGCGCCAAGTTGTAGCTAGCGCAGGTTTTGCTTTTATTAATTGGTAACGCAACCCAGTTAGTAAACTCTAGCAAGTACCGAGTAGTATGCAAATATAGTCAATGAGTTTCGCCTCATATTAAAATAACTTCGTGGGTATAATGACCGTAAACCATACCAAAATTGATGGTAGTAACTACAAGCATATAGGAGAGGAAGAGGCCAATTTTTGTAGTTCCTGTATTGCCCACCGCGCGAGTCAATCACGAGTTAAAATTTCGATACATACGATTCCACAAAGAAACGATCATATCTTCTAGCCCAAAAGACGGATTCTGACATATTATATATATAAATCGACTATTTTCAGTAATAAAGTTAGAGTCAATTTAGATTAGAAAATAAAATCAATTTCCATTCAATTTGGACTGATTTGTTCTCTTTACAATAGAGTCTTTTAGGTAGTATTAGATTATATATTTCTTTCTTTTAGAAATTTTGTTCTTATCAGGAATAGGCTTTGTTTTTCTATTTAAGAAAAATGATTGTAAATCTCATGGGATAAGATAACTTTTCCTCAATAAAATTTCATGTTCATTATATTTTCCTCGTGGACTCCAAGTTCTTTGTGGATTCGGAGATCATTCTTTATGGATTCAGAGAGCATTTCTTAGTGAATCCCGATGTTTATCACTTTCACGCTACGTCATTTAGTATCAAAGCACTGTTTTTTCGATCCGATAGCAGGCGATCAAGCCCGTGTTACCCGAATTGAGTTCAACGATTTGAATTGCGAGAGTTACTCAGACGAAGACTTCCATAAACCGACTTACATTGGCGGTGGACCATCTGAATGTAGGACGAGTTCGAGATTGCATTTATGATTGCAAAAGACGAGATTCGACTCTACAAGACAAATTCTATAGTAATGATTGTAGAGGCTACAGAAGAAAGGAGAACTATATATGATGCTAGAGGATTAAAGGTACCATCCTTCAATGGAAAGCTTCATGCTGATGATTTCCTTGAATGGATTAATAAAGTGGATAGATAATTTGAGTATGAGATAATTCCAGAAGATTGAAAAGTTAAATTAGTAGTTTATAGACTTAAAGGAAAAATATTTGCATGGTGGGATGAAGTACTGATAAATCGATATCATCAAGGGAAGGATCTAGTTTGAACATGGACAAAGATGAAGAAGTTATTGAGAGACTATTTCCTACCTTCCAACTACAAACAATATCGTGTGTCTTTGAAAGATTCTTTTACTTTAGCCGACACAGTCCATCTAGCAAAAAAGGTGGACCGACAAAGGACCTTCGTCATAGATGTTCTTGAAGAGTTCTCACACTAATTATGATTGCGACAAAACTAAAAAACTTCAATTTATCTCTAAGAAAGAGTCTAGATTTGTGAACAACATCGAAGAGGCAACAAAGAAGACTTTATCAATTATGTTGATCGCAGAATTAGAGGCATCTAAGACAGCGATTGCTAAGGAGAATGTATTTCTAGTGGCAAACAATGAGACACCCACAACCAAAAAAGAAGATTTTGCTACCATCAAGATTTATCCTGTAGTGCAACCCTTGTTGTGCATGAAATTCATCATGTTGATGGTGATATGTTAATGAAGACGGATATTATGCATGATATTCTCAAAGATGTTGTGAGTGATGTTACACGTATTGATATTGTCCCGATAGAGGAGAATGATGTAATAGCGAGTGAGTCAATTGATGATATCTATGACTTGTTTGGTGGAGGGCTCGAGGCAAAAGAGATGAAAGAATTGTGTATGGAGTATGAGGAAAATTTTTCTTTAGAAGCAAAGGTTGCGAATAATTTCAAGAAGGTTGAGATGATACTCCCGACACTAGATTATGAGAAGCAACAAGGAATATATTTGGATGAATTTTTCAAATCATCTATAGATCCACATGCCGCCAAACACATGCACATGGTTCATGATATATTCATTCAAAAGTTTGATTCAGAAGAAGTCCTAACCGAGGATGTAAAAATAACAAATTGAGAAAATCAATGCTTAATACAAGGCGGATGTTGATTAATACAGGAGAAGAAAAATATTTATCGATGAAGCTACTATTCAAGCAAATATAAGCTCAAGGTCAAGCTTCTATCAATAAGGGAGACTAATGTTGAACGTTTAACAGACAATTTCATAAAGGAGTAGGTCAATCACGAGCTACATGCAAATACATATGTATTATTGACTTTTGCATGTAAATCGCCTATCTCGATGAGATAAAGCCAATTGTATTGTCAAATTTTCAAAATCTCATTAGCAATACTTAGTTTTGGATGAAATCCGAAAATAATCAGCTTTGAGTTTATATTTAGTAATGAAGTTAGAGTCAATTTATATTAGGAAACAAAATCAATTTTGATTCAATTTGAACTAATTTGTTTTCTTCATTATAGAGAGTCATTTAGCTAGTTTTACATTATTTTTTTAGAAATTCTATTTTTATCAAGAGTATGATTTGTTTTCTATTTAAGAAGAAGAACTATAAACCTCATGAGATAATACGATATTTCATTAATAAAACTTCCTCTTCATTATATTTTCCTCGTGGATTCGAAGTTTTTCGTGGACTTGGAGATTGTTCTTTATGCATGCAACGAGCACCCCTTTGTTGATTCTGAAGTTGATTACTTCCCTGCTGCATTACCCACGGAACTCATTGGTATAACAAATCGATTTAGGTATAGCCTTTTTAATGTGAAAATGAAATCGCTTGAAGATTAAACTATTAAGTTAATGTGTTCATCTTACACTTGGCACATAGAAAATGAACCTCTGTCTCTCTGTCGTCCCCTCTGAGTTTCACAAATTGGTGATTTTGTCATTTATTTCTTGAGAACATCAATTACTGGCATGTAGTACGTTTAGAGAAGACAATTGCTGTTCGTGCCATCTTCTCCTACTTGTCACTTGTTTGCTTCCCACAAAACATCAAGGCTTTGTACTATTATTCTATTTCTATTTCCTAAGCTTTTCTATTTTGATTCACTTCTCATAATTGACCTCTCATGCACCGACCCCAACAAAATTTCGTACTACACGTCATAATATCAAAGTATTCCTTATCATTTCAACTGTTCATCCGTGATTTGTTTTCGTTTAACAAAGATACATAGTTATAGTATATATATTGTGGCTACTTGAAAGAACAACGTACAACCATTTACATCAAAGCTATCATGTTTTCCATATGCTTAGTTTGTAAAAAAGTTGCTAACAATAATTGGACAAATTTTCAAAACAGACCTCTTTGGGTTTTTAATTGCAAAAAACGACCCATTTCAATCTTATTTATAAAAACCGACCCAGTTAGTTGAAACTGGGTCGGTTTTTGAATTTTTTTTTCCCAAACTTCACGGGAGTTCAACTCCCGTGAAGTTTCCCAAAAAAATTTAAAAAAACCGATCTGTTTTCAGCCCCTGGTTGAAAACAGGTCGGTTTTTGTAAATATTTTCAAAACCGGTCGTTTTTTGCAATTAAAAACCCAAAAGGGTCGGTTTTGAAAATTTGTCC